TCGATTTCAGCTCCCTTCTATCTGATCAGCTTCTCCTCCGCGTATTCTCCAAGCTTCCCATATCTCACCACCTATTAAGCTCGTCTGCAAGCGTTGGTTGTTTCTTCACGGCAGCTTGGTTCAATCTCTTAAGCTCCTCGACTGGCAATTTCTCGAGTCTGGTCGCCTTTTCGCACGCTTCCCTGCTCTCACCGAAATCGATACCGTCCCTAGTTCATGTATCCGCCTCCCTCGCGCGGCCAAACTCGGGTGTCTACAGGACATTTAAACCCTCCTTCTCTCTTCCTATCGATATGTTGCCCCCCGACAGGATTCAACAAGGACTCCAATTGATTACTCAAAAGTATCCCAATTTTATCCCAAGATATATGGGAGTTGTTACTCCAATATAGTGTACACACATCAAGACTAGAGAATAAAACACCTCCCTCTTTGGGATTTTTACTTCTTTTTCTTTTGGTCGGTCATTCTAGTCTACTGTGACCTTTCTCCGTACTAGGTTGAAGCTAATATAAAAGCAGCTGAAATGATATGTAGTGCCAACAAGGCTTGGCTAACTTTGTCAATCCTGCTTCTTACTCGCGAATTAATAATTCTGTTAGAAAGTATCTAGACATCCCATAGCTTCAAAGCAAACATGATTTACATACCACTGGTTTTTAAAAGCCGAGGCCCATCAAAAAGCCGATCGATTGTGGTCTCATGAGTTTTCAAACCTCTCATTTGTTCTTAAAGCCCAGCCCATTCCGTTAAAACATGTACGTACGTACCTCTTCTCTATGTGGATCAAATCAATTCACAGCAAGAAAACAAAAAGATGGCGCTGGCGCTGTTAGCATCTCCTCCACCTCCGCAGCTCCGCTTGGCCGTTTTCGAACCAAGTGTTCGCTCTTCGCCGCACAGCGAGCCAAGCGGAACCTAATGGATCTCATCTCCGACCAGGATCGAGGTCTGAGAACCCAGAAAGACGCCGTGAAGCGAGACGCGATCGTGAATGCCATCGAGGCCATGGCGGCAATCGGGAGAAGCTCCATCACCACAGGCGATTCGCTGTCTGCCACGTGGAGACTACTGTGGACGACGGAGAAAGAACAGCTGTTCATCATAGAGAAGGCGGGGTTGTTGGGCACGCGCGCTGGAGAGGTGCTGCAGGTGATCGATGTGAAGAAAGGGAAGCTCAACAACGTTATCACTTTCCCGCCCGACGGTGTTTTCTTTGTACGCTCCGATATCGACATCGACATCTCTTCCCCGCAGAGAGTCAATTTCAGATTCACCAGTGCGGTGTTGAGAGGAAGCAATTGGGAGATCCCGCTCCCACCTTTTGGCCAGGGCTGGTGAGTTCTTCTTCTCAATATATTCATTCATAATAGTTTAGAGTCCTGCATAAGAATTTTTTGGTTATTTGGTGCCGTTACAGGTTTGAAAATGTTTATATGGATGGTGACATCAGAGTGGCCAAGGACATCAGAGGGGACTACTTAGTTGTTGATCGTGCTCCTTTTAACTGGAAAGAATGATCCACTCGTATCTTCCTTGTTCTTTCTTTTTATTCATCTACCACTTTTATTTTTAGTGCCAAATTAAGACATTTGCACATATAGATAGCTAAGTCCTTCAGAACACCACACCACTTTCTCAATTCCTGCTGCCTATCTTGTGAAACCTTGTTTCCTAAACCCATATCTTGGTGACTTATAGGCGCTCTAACAACACTCTTGTTATCTGCTCCTTAGACTATTTCTTGCTCCATGCATCGCCATATACAAACATGACATTGGCGTGTACAAGTGTGTTTTCTAGCAACAAAGGCTCTCTATCGCCTGACACAAGTAACAAGTAGAACATAGGATTAGGAGCTTATCCCTTTATTTATGAAATGATTTGCATCACCACATTTAATCTTAACAAGAAAAAAATAACATAGCTTCAAAAAATGTGACATGACATAAACACATATACAATTTTTCATATAAATATTTAAATTTTTGGTAAAAAAATAATTTAAATATGGTAGCTCGTCATCTAAGAAACAAGCTCTAGATTCCTTTCAAAATAATATATACTAGATTTTAACATGCGTTTTTCATGCGCAGAAATTTTTATGATCAAGAATTTATATAATTGATTTTCATCTTTATTTAAATTATGTTTTGATATAAAATTAGTAATCCAAAATTTTTGGTGATGATTGTGTTGCATTAATTTTTAGTTTCTGTTTTTTTCTTAGATTTTGGTTTATGGATTTTAGTTTTTAATTTTCTATTTTTTTATTTTTAGCTTTTGGTTATGGTTTTTAATTTTTAGATCTGCTGAGTTAGCTTGAAATGATATTACCAACAAACAAATCTCAAATAATCGAACTTCTAATTTAAAATTGTTTTTTAAAAAAAAAAATTGCAATAGTTTATTTTGTAAAGAAACAAAAAAATATAATCCGCGTTTTTAACTATTGGTTTTGGTTTTGAGTTTTTAGATTTGGTTTTTGTTTTTGCTTTACATTTATTTATTTTTAAAAATAATAAGTAAATTATTTAATAAAAATAAAATAAACAGTATATTACAATTTCCAAAATCTATTGGTTTCATATAATTAGTAGAATTCCATATTTGTTAAGAAACTGTTAAGATGTGAAATCTCTTGGTTTTCATATAATTAGTAAATTTCCATAGTTCATATTTTGATGATATTTAAAAATATGCATATTAATTGTATTGGTTTAATTTGCAATAGTTTATTTTCCAATAGTTTATTTTATAAATAAACAAAAACAAAAATATAACCCGCATTTTTAACTATTGGTTTTGGTTTTTAGTTTTTAGATTTGGTTTTTTGGTTTTGCTTCACATTTATTTTTTAAAAAAATAATGAGTAAATAATTTAATAAAAAAACAGTATATTACGATTTCCAAAATCTATTGGTTTCGTATAATTAGTAGATTTCCATATTTTTAAGGAACTATTAAGATATGAAATTTATTGGTTTCATATAATTAGTAAATTTCCATAGTTCTTATTTTGATGATATTTAAAAATATGCATATTAATTGTATTCGTTTAATTTAAGTAATATGGTTTAATCAACTATATTACTCGTAACACTCTAGAAATGGTCCAAATTTAAATGACAACTTGTATCAGTAGATAAAAGAAGGACTATGTTTTAATAGAGTAGATTCTAGAATTTTCACACTTATTAAGAAAATACGTAATATTTTGTAATAAATGTATTATTTTCCCTATTTAGTTAATTCCTATGATTTTTAACCAATCAAAATTCAGTAACATAATTAATATTTTTGAAATTGAAAATTTGCCATTATTATCTACATTGAAAATGTAAAACATAGATATTTTAGAAAAACTTTTTTTCTAAAACATAGATCATTCTAAATGGAGGGAGTATATCACAATTAATGTAAATTTCTATATAAATATTTATATATGGAAAGAATATTAAAATATATTAATAACTAATAAATCATATATAAATATTAAATTAATATATATATATCACAATAACAAAAATAAGCTATATATAACTAAAATATGATTTTTTACATTAATAGTATTATATAAAATATTTGTAAAATATAAAAAATAATGTCCAAATATAAATTGAATTCTCTTTTAAAATAAAATAGTATTATATAAAATATTTTATTTATGTGCATGGTGCAGAAAAATTCCTTGTGTATTATATATAAATGGACCTTGAGGTCAATGATCAATAACACAAAAATATTTATCATTTACATAACTTCTCAAGTAATATGTGTTAAAGGTTGGCACGGGTCAGATATCTAGGATTTTGAAGGTATTTGTGATTTTTTTCGTATGGTACGAATATCTAATTTTAGTATTTTATTTGCTTCAGAAAAATAAAAATATCAGAAAAAATGAATATCCAGAAAATAAATAGATATTTTCAGAATTTACGAATGCTTACGGATATCTCATCCGTTTTGATTAATACATATAATCTTAAAATTTTGATACAAATTTAAGTTGTCATTTTGTCATTTTTAAACGATAAAATATTTAAAAATACACAAAATATGATTTTAGTATATCTAATTATATAAAGAAGGGTTTGCATCCCTCATGTGCTGCCACGTCAGATAATCAGAAGAGGAAATTGAGCCATGTATCTTTTCCTTTACGAGATTCTTTGTTTTTAATTTTGTTTTGCTTATGGGTTTACATAGTATTGTTGGGCTTCAATCTTTTCTTTTTTGGGCTGTTAAAAATATAATACCTAAGCCTAACTTTCTGAAAAAATTGGAACTGACGACATCTAAAACTTCGAGTTCTCATTCATCTCCGTCAATGGAGTCTCTTAAGAATGATTCAAGACGAATCAGGTTGAAGCTTCACTGGATCGATATGTAAGCATCGTTTCGTCTCCCATGTACCATTACAGGATGACTTGATTCACTGTCATTAATACCTTTCTTAACTCCTTCGATTCATTATAACCACAAATTCTCCTTCAGTGCTGATTTCCTCTTTTCAAAGCGGTGCATTAACAGCTATAAAAAGCTAGCCTACATACAGCAAAATCCTCACGCTGCAAACAGTGGCTAATCAAAGCTGTGCCCCCACAGGCAAGATCATCTTGGGATGTTCTGATGACTGAGAAAATCAAGCGGATACTAAGAAGAGTGATTTGGACGGCGGCTACGGTGTTAGGAGTCGGAAACCGCAGATGTACAAGCTCGCGCTGGTTCCGCTCAGACAATCTCCCTTCTTCCTCTGTTCAAATCTCCACCTTCAGGTAAAAGCAACGAGATCTTTGATCTCCGTTTTGATTATCGTTCTCGAAACCTTTTATATTTGTTGTTTGTTTTTACTTTCGATTTGTTTGTTCTGTTTTTTTTTCTTTGTTTTTGTTTTCCCTTATTGTTTCTATCTAAGCTTTATGTGTTAGTACTAGAGTTGTTCTATTTTTTGGTGATCTGAAGGGAAGATTCCCGTCAGACTTTCGAGAAACTGCACCTAAGAACAAATTTGTTGCTATTGTGAGTGATTCTTCCCATCTTAGAAATTATTTTGTACCTAGCCCTTTCAATTTGTAAATCAAATGAAAGGATGTAAATCAAAGTATGGAACCATGAGATCCAAGAAAGGTTCAGCCATATCTCTGGATATTTACTTTGATTTATGTACAAAGATCATTCTAAAAAAATCTTATTATGTTAAGTATTTGTGCCCGATATTCTAATGGGGAAAATCGCATAAAAAACATCCAAGGTGGCACCCACTGACACTTTAAACCCTGAGGGAATTATACAAGCATTTTAAACATCCAAGGTGGCTAATTTAGCATATTAAACCCTCATCTTGGCTAATCTCTTCGCACCGTCAATTTCTTTAACGGAATAATTAACCCCGTTAACAGCATACTTTACTCCGTTATTAGAGTGTTAACCCTCCGTTTTGATTAAAACGATGACGTTTTGGGACAGCAAAAACGACGTCGTTTTGGGATAAATTATTAAAACACTTGTGCTTGATAATAAAATCCCAAATCGATTTGGGGATAAAATTAGGGTTCCCGTGAGATGACGTGAAATCAAAGGAGATAAAAAGTGAGATTGAAATCGAAGGAGACAGAGAGTGAGATCGAAATCGAAGGAGAGAGAGAGAGAGACTGAAATCGAAGGAGACAGAGAGAGAGAAGGAAAGGCGGGAGGCTAGAGAGACGAACACCTCCTTAGAGTTCTTTGGGAAGAGAAGAAATTCGAGGAAAAATGAGGTAAGAAACTCCAGCTTGGTATATTTTCGAGATGATATTGATCCATTAACAAGTTCAAACTCTATTTTGGGTTTTCAATTGTTTTTTCGTTTTGATATTTTTACAGGTTCAAACCGACTTACAAGGTCAACATCCACTTCGGTGGGACTATGCAGAAGATGGTTGATGGTAGTTACCACTATCTTGGTGAAATAGGATTTAAGCAGAAAATTTTGAAGAGAAATGAATTAGGATGGCAGAACTTTGAAGAAATGATGTTGGAAGAGAAAATTATGTCACCA